AGGGGCAGAAGCTCATTATATTCTCAAAAGAATCCTGATGTACTAAATCATTCTGTCTCCAATTCATAGCAGCACATTCCCTCTGTACATACAGCTCCTTCACTGATAAAGCAGCAAATTATTACCCACCTCAGCTACTAAAACTTTGGCTCCCTGAGTTGTTCCAAATTGAGGCTGCTTGCCCTCATATTCCAGGCCCTTACTGTTACCATGGAATGATGGTGACCAAAGTCTTTCCACTTCAGCTCAGTTCTCTGCCAGCTGCCACACCCCCATCCTTTGAATTTCCCAGCAGCTTTCCAAGCAGCTCCCTTGGAAAGCCCCTGCTCTCCACCACTGCTTGTCTCCCCAAACTTCTGTTGTTTCCCTCTGTGGTACTCCCAGGGGCTGTCAAAAAAAGTATTGAGGTGACAACTTCATGTGATTGACAGCTGTGAATTTCACCTCTCTGCTCTCTCCAGCTCCCCCCTGCATCAGTTTGCAATTTTATCTGACATTTTTCACTTGTGGATTGTTTGTTGCTCCAGACTGTCAAATGTTTAGGCCATATTTGGTGATATTATGATATAATAAAGGACAACAGAATTGCACTCCTGGGGAAGGGAGAGTCAAGGACTTCAGTGACTTTTAGGCTGTTGGTTTGTTTTATTTTCACCTGTTCTTTAACGCCCTCTGTGACTAAGTCCTGGGTGATACCAACCAGGAAGAAATTAATATTTAATCCTACTCCAAATTCCTAAATCCTTCTGCTCTGTTACTTCTGTAGGAGTCTTCATTTGCACTTAGAGCTACAGTTCCAGGGATCAGCACAGGTTCTGCTAAAGCCAATGGAAAAGTTCTGGTTGGCTACAAGTGGCACTGAAGGAGGAACTCGGACAACTAAACAGAGCAGTCAGTTTAGGGAAGGTTCCATCTATTTACTTATTCCCCCTTATACAAAAATCACCTTTCATCTTTGGTTATTTACATTCTCCAAAGCAAGTATTTATGACAGACAGCTGCAAACAAAACCCAAAGGTTTTGGAGCTGAAAAGCAAGCAGCTGTGCTCTGCCACTTCTATTGGCATGGGGACGCATTTTCAGATTCTCAGTCAAGCCTACAAGTGCTGTTCAAGGTTCACACAGGGATAACTGCAGTTTGAAAACTTCCAAAAGGCCAGCACAAACACTGGGGCCTTATCCTTGCTTTCAAGCCAGGGGGTCTATTTATGTGAACAAATTTAAGCACTGAGTAAGCTTTCACAGGTTTGTGCACTGATATTATAATCACACACATGAGCAGAATTGTTAATTGTCCTCATTCCTTGGCTATTTTAGTAAAAATAATGAAAGGAAAATCATATGCACACTTCAGTATTAGCTTAGTCTCTCTTCTGCTGCCATTGATAGCTCTTTTGACTTAGAAATGGTAGCCAGTGTTTGCAGAAAAGGATGGCCACACCATTCTCATTGTTAGTCCTTGAAGAATGTATTACTTCAAAAAAAATCCTATCTCTAAGATTTGGGTTTTGAAAAATGTCTCTCTTGGAGAAGTGCCACGAAGCATTTCGTTCTGCCTTTTTTTTTTCTTTTAAAGTTAGATTTTCCACCCCTGTTTTAATAGGCTGTTATAGCCTTTAACATGCCATGAAATTAAATGCCTCCATTGGGGATCCATAACTTATCATAACAATAGTATTTCTAGCACTTGTTGGAACTATAAGGAAAGTTGGAAGGTGGTATAATAATAAGTGTAGCATTTTAAAGGACTACAGAATTGTCACTATACATTACTGAGCTCCCCTAGTTAACACCCATGAATTAAAAGCATAAAGAAGTGATAATAGCTGGGTTTCTAAAGAAATGACTGACACTTGGTGAGATTATCTTTCTGCTGGAATTAACCTGGGATCCGTTGGGAGCCATAAACCCCACAAAAACTGTGGAAGCACATTAATTTGATAACCGACCCTGCTTGAAGCAGGAGGTTGGAATAGCTGACCTCCTGAGGTTCCTTCCAACCCAAATTATCCTATGATTCTAATCACTTCCACTAATTTTTGCTAGGTACCTGTAATGATACATATATTAGATATGTAGCAAGAACAGATCACTTTCCTCTTGCTTGCATAACTCTACAAAATCTCCAGTGTAAGATTAATTAAAAATTGAAGGCCATGCTATGCCAGTACAAATGGCCTTTTAAATAAGGGGAACTGATATCTGCACCCCTCTCTGCCACTGAAGAGATGCACATTGTCTAATTTAATAGAGGTGCCAAGAATATACAGTCTCCAATAAAATTTCTTTCAAGAAAGGAGAGAAGTTCTTCAACAAAGCAAACTGCATCTCCCGAAAAAGGAAAACTTCTGTAAGAGTACTCACAGCTTTTCAGTGTCTTGCCCAGAACCAAAGCTTGGCTCAGTGCTCAATCCTTCAAGGCTCCAGCAAATAAATGCTTAATGTGGAATCATTAGGTTGGAAAAAGCTCCAAGACCATCGAGTCCAACATTTAAGCCAGAACTGCCAAGTCCTCCACTAATCCATGTCCCAAGTGCCACATCTGCACACCTTTTAAATCCCTCCAGGGATGGTGACTCCACCAGTTCTCCAGGCTGGCTGTTCCAATGCTTGACAACACTCTCATGAGCCACTTCACATCTTTGCCTTGCTGGTTCATTCAGAATCACATCAAACCCTCCTCAAGCTGTGTACACTCCTGTGTTGTTTGCTACTTTGAAAGGTCTTTAAGAACAGCCTGTCACTGACTGTCTTTGAACATCTTTCTAGTTTTCAGCACTTTGGACATTTTGGACTGTTTGTTTTTTTATCACAAGAGAATTTCACCACTCCTTTTGAAGAGTTAGGAAGATACCTACACCTCCTCAAGGAAAGCAAGAGACACATTGCATAAAACATTTTCACAATGACCAGAGTTTGGCAGAGACAAAATCTGCCAAGCTATAATTTAATTTATTAATTTTTATCTCACTTGCAGGAGTGAGATAACTTAAAAAAGCAAAATCATGGACAATGATTACTTGTTAGATTCTGAGAGGGAACAGAACCATCACATAGAGAACTTCCACCAATATTTAAGTATCCTAAAGAGAACAGGATTTATTTTGACACAAATATCAAAATAAAAGAAAGTAATTGAGAGTAGCCACAAGAGAGGGCAAAATTCTTCCTAAAGAGTCTAGGGAAAATCTATTTTTACTAGAGGGAATCCCAAATGCTCATTAATTAGCACTGCCAAAGACCTATCAACACAACATAGAAAAACACATTCATTTTCTTGATCTAAATGATAAAGCAAGGTGCAAAGGAGTTTTACTGTAGTTGTGGAAATTTGGATTAGCCTCCATGATTTAATATGAGCCTGAATACACAGGGAGTTTGAGAATATAACTCAAAAAATGTTAGTTTAGGGTATGGGCACTCCTTCCATTGATGGCTGAAGAGGCAAGAACAGGAAATCACATAAGAAATATTTGCACAGTCAATTTTCACCTCTTGTTTGGTGTCACATTAGAGGAGCATGAGGAGGGTGGCAAAAAATCACCAGTTCCACCACATACAGGCACCACTCCAATATAATGTCTGAAGTTTTCAGGCTGTCTGAGGATCTGCCCTTCACCAGGCACAGCTGATGGCTCCACAAAATGATAGCTAGGACTTGTCAGGATGAAAAATAAGTAAGGAGTAATAATGAAATATTAATGTACACCCTGTTTAATTAAACGACAATATCATTTTCTTGCAATCCTTCTCTAACTCTGCTGGAAGAGTACAGTGTTGACATGATAATTTTATAAACTTCCTTCACAGTTCACGTTAAACCATCCTTCATTACCACAGATTGATAATTGGCACTTACAAAGGAAATGAAATGTCTGAAAAATTCATTAAACATGCCAAATATCTGAGGAGACCCAGCGCAATCACAAAGTTATCTAAATCACTGAGTAAGCAGCTAAAGGGCTGCTTTCCCTTATAAATTCTTAAAAAAATTTGGAAAAAGTCGTGACTTCCTATTATATTTTTAATACAATGGAAGTGAAGCAGTCACTTTGAGACAGATTCAAGTCTTCCTTCCATCAGGTGGTTTTGGCAGCAATTTCAATTAAGTTACAGTATTTGGCTTTAGATCTTCTCTCCCCTCCTTTCACCTTCCTCCAGGAAATAGAAATAGGAGATACATGCTTATTTCTGAAGCTATTCCCTTAATAATCTCTTACAACAGGGTCTTGTCAGAAAGCCTTATTTGGATATTTCCAATTGATCTATTTCCACTGTGCTGGTCATTTCACCCCTCACAGTCTATGCAGACCCATCCAATAAACTGCAGAGACCCTTCCTTTTAATGTACTTTGGCATTTAAAGTTCCCATGGCTGCTCTATCTGTGCAGTTTAAAATACATGAAAAAGCAAGGACATTGTTTAATTAAGGAAAGCTGCTAAATATTTGAGCAAAAGAAGTTCTTGAGGATATGCCAAATATCTTGGCCTATCCCTCAACCCAGGCCAGGCTCAGGAAAAAGTGAGAAGAAACTAATAAGGAGTAAAATCTCCTTTGTCAAAATTACTCTTGCTTGGCTTTTCACTGCTTAATGGAGACAGAAAAACACTTATAAAAATACATTTGCTCACTACACAAAATCATAATAATCTTCCAAAGTCATATAAGAGGGAGAGAAGGTAGAGGCAGATGATCACTGAACTGCCAGCTTCATCACTGAAACCCTGAGAATGGATCATCCCCTGGCCACAACAATTCACTGACATTCTGCACACAAGAGTGGACAAGGCACAGGACAAAGTTGCCAACTGTCTGATACTTTTGATACCATTACAATAATTTATTCTAATGAGAAATCTCAGCTACTGAAGCTAGCAAATCCATCTACCTTTACATGCAAATGAAATGGCAGAACCAGATCTCTTTCAACTTTAACGTGACTGAAATTTTCAGTTTCTCTTTCTCTAAAATGATAAAAAGAATTCAATAAATTAATTACCTTCTCTACAAAGGAACATTTTTGGAAGCTCACTTGTTTCTTTTTGGTTGAAGCTGGATGCTTGGTGTATCAAACAATTTGGTGATGAATCAGAGATGAATTTCTTCTGTCTCTTCCATGCTCCACATCTCAGAAGCTTCATATTTTGGACAAGTTGCAAGACTTTTAGCATAATTGACTTTAAAATGGCATTCTGCTCTCTGTAAACAAAACAGAAAAAAAAAGTTTACATTTCCTAATGTAGTTAATTATTTTCCCAAACTGTTTAATTTATCTAATGAAGCAGAGAAGGACAAACCATTAATAATATACATTATAGGATGAAAGTTTGATTGAGTTTTTTGAGACTATATAAATAGACTTCTGAACGTATAGGTGGAAGAAAGACCAGTATGGTAGATGCAGACAACAAAAAAATTCTGCCATGATTGTCTTTCCCTCTAATTAACCATCAGCTCTTCTCACTGATAATGAGGAATGTGAGGTACAAAACACATCCCTCAGGAGCTGGCTGAACTTCTGCAGATTTTTGAAAGTTCTATAAAAGGCTTTGTTAGCCCAGTCCTCAAGGTTTATGGGACAATAATCACAAGGCTTTGCTGAGAGCTGTAGTGCAGGGATGTGTTCTGGGGTCTGAAAAGCCTCAGCATGACCCTCATGAGTGGCAGCAGCTCTCACAGCATCCATTTCTTCACAGGACCAGGACAAACTCCTGGAAACTGGCAGTGAAAGTGGCAGCTCCACACAATTCCCATGCAAGGCAGTGTGAATTTATATTTTAAGGTGTTCTAGGATCTTGTAAAACCACAGAATAAATTATTTCCATATTTCAGCTCTGACCTTACCGTAAAACTTTTGCTCTATGAATAATCCCATTTCATTACTGCAAGGTTGCATTTCTGAAGGTTGGTTGTAAATTATATCTATAAATAATTTTGCAAGTTACTGTTTGCAAGTTGCTTGTAACTTTTATCTTTAGGAAGGCCTGTCCTTAGGCCACCTCAATTCTGGTTCTTCACCTTTGCTATTAAGCTGAAAATCCAGAAGATATAGTGATGGCTACTTGAATTTGTTCCCGTGCTGTGAATTACCATTTAAATTTCTTCCCTAATGACAACAGAACTTGCCCAGACCATCTGAGCCATTAAGCTACTGCTCTGGATATCATATTTTTACTTCAGCCTTTCTTTTCTCATGTGTATGTTCTCTGACCATCAAGGACTCAAAGGAAAAGGCAAGCTGGGGGTAGGTCAGATAAGTGGATTCTAATTTTTTGTCACCCCATAAAAAGATCTAATCAGCTCCTTTGTGACTTGCCCAAATTCCATGGAAATCAATGTAAAGTCTCACATTGATTTGACAGAGTATCTTTGCCAGGTCTTTAATGTTTCTAAAGCAAAATTTAATAGGATGCCTAATTAAAGACTTAATTAATGCCTGGATGATGTTTTCTGAAAAAGAACTGAAATTAATCCTCATGGTATTCACAATTCTCCACACCAGCCTACTGATTCTATGCTGATTAAAATCTCCTGAATGTATTATATATTTAGAATTACAGAAATCAATAACTAAAAAAACCCAAACCAAACAAAAACAGAGCTTATTCATTTAAAGAGAAAGAAGAGGATTCACCTCCTTTCTCTACCATGTAGGTGCTAAGAGCTTACTATAACCACTAAAGCCCAGAGAAATGTATGTTTTTATTTACAAAAGGTTGAATGCTATCAAAGATGCAGAGATCTCTTTTTCTCCTTACTAATTTTTTTTGACCCCTGTAATAAAGCTGATGTTTTTTTTCTTGCTTTAGCCTGAAACAAAATAGCTGATTCTCAGGTGGAAAAATAATTAGTAACATGGGAAGCTGAATGAATTTTGAGATACTGAGGAAAATGCAGTTTGAACTGTCAGGTTTATTCACTTACCCACAGGAAGTACAAAGCAGCAAAGAAATAAAACTCTCTTAGAACTTAAAGCTTTCATCGACCTATTCCCTCTGGCTGATTCTTTTTCCCAAAACTCTCTTTTCCCAGTGGTTCCTATTAGAAACACAAATAATTTGCCTCTCTGCATAGTGACAAATGTCATACTTACTTCTTTTAAAAATACTATTAAATTATTATTACCTTTAAATGTGAGCACAGAACAGCTATGCAACCTCAAATACACTTCACAGGAGCACTTGCACTGCTGACTTGTCAAAGGAAATGGGAGATATCAGTGGCTGAGGTATCACTCTTTATTAGGCTGAAGGGAGCTGTCCTCTGTTTGGCACCCCTACAACACAGGTGTAGGGGCTGCCAAAAACAGCAGGAAAAGATCTTTGTATGGATTGGCACAGAGGATCCTTGCAGCCTCTCCCATACTCTACTGTGAAAAATTAATGGATAGAAATTGATTCTTGGCATCACAATTACAAAAGAATAAGGTCAGCACCCGGTGCCTCAGCAGACCACTGAGTCTTTTGTTGTTTGTGATGTTTTTTACCTTTTGCTCATGGTTTGGGGTTTTTTTGTACCCTCTTCAAAGTCAAGAGCCCTAGATGTATCAATGACAGGGCTCAAATGGGGAAAGATGGAGCCCAACGCCTGGTCTGAGATATGAGCTGTCATAGGGATGTCAGGAACTTGTTAGGAAAACTTTAGAGACTGGAAGGCCACAATGGATGGCTGCAAACTCCTTTGTGAACACAGGAAGGGAAGAAGAAGTGGTGAAGTTGCATATGGAACAGAAAAATCCAAATGCACGAAGGTGAGCTGAGACCACAAGGGGTCAATTGAGTCCCTTGGTCAGGATTACTGGGGTCATCACCGAGGGGGAGTTTAGGTTTGGTGTCTCTTTCTGACCCCCTAATCAGAATGGTGAGGCTGAGGAAACCTTCCTTTGGCTGCTGAAGGAACTCTTTGGACCCACAGAACCTGGTCCTCAGGGGTGACTTCAATTGCCCAGGCACTTGTGAGAGCAGCAGGGCCCGGCAGGAGCAGCTCCAGCTGTGGGCTCTGACACACCCTCTCTCCCTGTTTGCTGATGGCAGTGATGGGGATCATCCCTCTCAAAGTGTCTGCTCCTTTGCTCTGATGCCTGCAGTCTCACCAGATTTTCAGATTTGAGCCTGAGTTTGCCCATCCTGGCAGCAGTGGTGCAGTGCTCCCTCTGCCAGCAGCCTCTGGCCACCTGCCACAGGGTGTTTGCACCCCGCTGCTGTGTCCTTGGAGCTCATGCCCCAAGCAAGAACAGGTTATGCTGCTCTCTGTTAAGGGCTGCCTCTCCTCTGCCACATTTTGTTCCCCTCAGCTGACCTGCACTGCTCCTAAGGCACTGCCTGCATCCAGCCCTTCCAGGGAAGCACAGAGACAGCATGAGGAGCTGCAGGATGTTCTTCACAAAGACAGCAAACTGCACCAGATTCCTTGTGAGAGCCACTAACCTGTAAACTTTGGATTTATCCTTAAAGGGAAGGAAATTGCTGCAAGCCAGGGCACACTGAGAAGCTCAGGAGATTCTCCAGATCAAAGTATTTGCGCTTTATTTTGTAACCACTCCTCTCTTACGCTCCCCTCAGAAGAATTTAAGTGTCCCAGTTCCTTGTTAAGGCCTGCCCAGTAAAGCATCAATTTCTTTGTGCTTTTGCACTAGTGGCTTGTTTCTGAGTCCCTCTCCTCCTTCACTCCAGCCTGCTTTTCCCAGGGGATGGAGGTGGCTCCGAGTGCACCTTCCACTGCACTGTGAGCCCACAAGGCTCCTGCCACACTGGGTGTGGAGGCTCTGAGCTGTGCCAGCCTAAAACAGGAGACTAGCATGTCACACAAGGCAGAACTGTATTTCTTATTTTCTCTTACAAATCAGTATTTTGTTAGCATTATTGCTTGTGTCAATCCTATTTAGGAATTCCCATTCATATATGTGGTTTTCATTAAACACTAAGGTCATGGTCCTTCAGGAAGAGAAAGTGAATGAAAATGCTGTGCATTAGAAAGAAAAATGGGGTGATTTCACTTGCTAAAATCTCTACTCCTTCAGCCAAAGATATTAAAAGCAGTAGTGCTAGCTATAACCTTCCACGGGAAGATGCTGTTTGTGTAGAACATTAGTAAAGAGGGAAATGTCTGCACAGATGTGGAAAGTCTTCATCTTCACTGCCCAGCTGCTGAGAAGTAGAGAAATTGAAAGCAACAAGCTCCAAAAAGTGGAAGACGAAGAGAAGGACGAGAAGGAAACTTGTCATGGAGAGACTGAAGATAGTATTCCTACCAAAAAAATGTGAAAGTAATGACAGAGAGATCCAGGTCCTGGCAGATAGCAGAACAGTTAAAGGAAAGTCATGAGGGAACTCCTCAGCACCATGATGAGCACCAATCCTTTCCATGGCACCATGAAAAGTGGAAAGTGTAAATGACATTCCCTAATTATTTCTATACTAGAAGACATTGTTAGAGGGTGAAGAGGGCATGGAAAGCATCAAGGCAAACCAGCAGAGATCCAGAGTGCAAACTCCAGACTGGGCATGGAGGAGAAAGGGGAGAAACACCTTTAAGAACAACTTGTTCAAAAGCTATTAAAACAGCCGATCACTGTCAGATTGTGTAGAGGAGGAAATATGCCCTGGAGGGAGTGCAAACCAGAAGATTGACTTCTTCAAATTCACAGCTGTGGTGGAGCAATCAAACAGTCCGATGGCAGCTTTCCCCTCAGAGGCAAGACAACCTGGGGCCATACGACCTCAACCTTTGGTACTCACAAGGAAAATTTAATGAGAGACTTGCTATAGAATCTGGTGTCTAGAAGTGACAAATTGCCAGCTTTGCTGACCCCTCGTGAAGGCGAAATTTCAAACTTTCATCAGCAAAACTGAGCAACTGAGACGAGCTTGGAAACTGAGACATGCAAGGAAAGGAAAACTGACTCTAACCAGAAACAGGTTGAAAAACAACTTAATTCTATATTCTTGCTAGCTAAAACAGAGATGGCAATGGAGGAATACAAAATATACCATAAGAGCATCAACACACGGCTGAGACACCATCACTGGCTGGGAAAATCAATTTGTTTCCCCCCAAACCAACACTGCTTGAGAAGAGGTGCTCTGGTGATTTAGTCATTGCTAAATTCAGGTAGAACCAGGAGGGACCCAAATGGTCACAATCACTAGAAAATAAATTAGATTAAACTCTCCCAAGCTGTCACAGCTTCCAAAAAGGCT